AACCAGCTGGTTCTGAAATAAGAAACTTTGGATCCAATTACCTCCTTTCATACGAAGTTTGGACAATTCTTGGAAACGGCTCCGTATTCACTTCAGATACCCTTTTGAATGAGGTTTAAAGTGACCAAAATCATCAGCTTTCTTATAGATGATTCTGATCACTTGACATACTTTCCTACGATGTTTTAAAAAATTGCGGCAATCCAGCAATTATATTTCGTCCGCTGTATAACTGGCTTCATTATAGAGAAGATGGGTAGAGAAGAATAAAATTAGAAAACAATTGCTTAAAGCAATTCGAATAGAACAGAACAACCCTCGGCAAAGAGTGGCCACAACGGTTACAAAAGGTCAAAATTAACCGCATAAAATCATACAATCCAACAATTATTGGAACTGACCATAAACACGATCAAAAATGATTTTAAAAATTATGAATAAAATCAAAACTAACCATATTCAAGAGCTATCGTCCGTTGTAGTTTTGCAAACGACCCCAAAGAGATGCTTTCGGTGTCAAATCGGTAAGGTAATATTTTAAACCACAACCAACTCTCAATGCTGTCACACAGCTCTGCTACTACCACATTTCCAGCGCAACCTAGTAATGCCAAATAGATACCTTTCTTATAGATGTCTACAGTTGATTCGGCTTCCAAACGCCATTCACTGCTAACTTTATCTCGATCTTCGATTGACAATCTGCAAATTATTATTACTAATTCCTTTCATTACTGAATTATTACTAATCAACTTGAATTTTGAATATAATCAAAATTTCAATCAAAATTATTTCCGTATAATTCTCCTCTGTAAAGAGGTGTTCTGTCACTCTGAAATGTTTGTTATATAGCACAGTTTCAATACTCATCTACTTGTAATGCTGGAAGTTTGGTTTTTTGATGCTGTAAAGTTGAGCCGAAACCTTTCAAGATATTATACGTTCATTTTTTGTTTCGACAGAGTACGTGAATCAACAAAAGAAGCTGAGATGAAGCAATCATCAAAGCTGCTACCATATTCTCATATCTGTCCACCCGCTTTTCTCACTGATACAAGAAACTTAATCAAATCACTCTATCAATCCGAACAACTCACTGATTGCTTTTTACAATTGACGATAACGCAGCTACAAGTGCAACACTCTTCTGAAGATGCGTTTTCGCGATCTCCGCAACCGATCCGTAATCTCCAGCTCGAAAACAATAATAAAGCAGTTCCCATACCGGTTGCCCATTTGGGCCGTATATACCATCCTGCAAGTTAATATCAAATTAATGTTCCACTGAATCGATAGCCACATTCGAATAGAAATATTCTATTCACAAAATGAACACCACATTTGCATTAACCCGATATTCACTGAAGCGATCTCAATAGTTGGTTTAGGCGTAACCAGAGTGAAACAGGCTGAAATATGACGCAAAACGGAGACTTAAGTTTGATATTCTCACCTGATATTGTCGTCGAACAATACGTTGATTCTTCACTTTTAAAAAAGCACCCACAAGTTCCATCGTATCACAGCTTGCCACATCTGGGCTAGCTGAACGTTGCAGTATTTCTCTTATGTACGTTAAAAAACTGAAATAATCATGACTAGGCAGTAAAATTAATAACAACACCAATAATAAAAACAGTAATTCATAAAGCTTTTCGGTAGAGAACATTTAAGACAGAAACTTTTTATGGAGGTAGCTGAGTGAATTTTGCACTAGGCAATTGATGTAATCAACGGAGGAACGATCCGACTGTGAATATGTTGTTTTCAATACTGCTACTCCTTGCTCCCATATCGACTTAGCACAATGTTCTCGAATATCACAGAGTTGAGCTGCATCCATGAACCCATTCAATAAATCGTTGTAATTCTTAGTTTCTATGTAGTTGGATAACTGAAATACATTGCGTATTACGCTAACTATGCATGGAAGCGAAATTGTCGCGTAGTGTTTCCGCATTGCTTATTCCAATTCAATTTCCAATAACACTAACCACAAACATCAAAATATTGCTTCAGACGTTTAAATTAAAACGAAATCCCACCGTTTCTGCGAAAGCTGCTTCCATAGCACGTGAAGATGATGAAAGGGCAGGTTTCCGAAGATTAGCACCAGTTTGCGATGGAAGCGAACCTCTTGTTGAATAAGCATAGCTGAGAATTGTGTCCTGCTGAAATTAAGAAATTACAGTAGCTCTGATTCGGACTCTTCAGAGTTGAATGAAGCTCATTCATAAGACAGAAGGTCCAACCTAAATTATGCTCAAAACCTCTGCAGAACAACGAATAGCAAATGAGGTTCGTTATTCTGAAATTTAAAGTTTGAATGAAGGATTATTTCGGAGCATGACTCTAACGACCTTGTAAACATCTCGATTATCTCCTCAATAATACAACGAACTTACACAATCATCTACAGTGTATTGATTCAAAAATGCTCTTTCGGCATCTAATTTTACTTTATCTGAATTCAAATCCGTCGTTTCAGTCAATATTTCTGTGTATCCAGATGGCGAAACAGAAGTGTCTTCCTCAGCAATAATTTCACTGGCTCCAACTTTTAGCTGAGTTGTACGAGATTCCAGTGAGAAGCCTTTCTCACCCAATAGAATATTCGCATGAAATTTAAAAGCTCATCGTTAAAATGTTATTAGAGAAAAATTCAAGGTATCTATCACATTAAAGTTGAACATTATACGCATCATATCGGACTGTAGATATGACTGTCACGCAGATTCATTATAATGTGCAACTAAGGTACTTGCATGTTATGATAAATGTACTATTGTACAAGTTTTTGATACTACATAGATGAAAACGATGGGACAATAAGAATAAAAATACATTCTCACATGGAAATCAAAAGTCCTTTCGTGACAAATGATTTGAAATATAGAAGTGAACCGAAAACCTGAATTTGAATATCGTTCTCATTTAGACGACCCTTCCTCCTCCAAAGCTGTTCACTTTTTTTGAACACGTAATCCAAGGATGAGTCAAAACGTTCACTCAGACTATTTACCTTCAAAAAATGTGCACAATGTTTATCCGATGTAGACTTCATCAACCTCAATTTTCTTCAAAAGCTACAATAAGAACATCAGATAGTCATGATTAATCATTAAAAAAAAACCACATCTTAGCCAAAAAGAAATCGAAAAACAAAGAAATTAAACCGAAATTTCGAAGTGAAAGACGAACCGAATCCAAAGCATTTTGATTTTGCTCTTGAGGTTGCCCATTTAATAGACTGTGTGTAGAAGAGGATAATCTATCAGCACGATAGAGAATATCCTCAAATGATGATGTCATACGTATAACACCTGCAACTGAAATGGTCACATACCTGCAAGTTCGACAGGGAAACCCGACTTCTCGACGGCAACCTCAAGCTCACAGAATTTTTTTGCATTTTACGAACTTTTTTTATGATCCCATAATCTTCATCATGCTCTACGTTTTCTCAAAGTTAAAACTTTCTTAATAAACTATTTTTTGATTCGTCCAACTAAACACTTTAGGTTACCTACCTTCGATGTAGTTATACAACATTATTAAGCTAGAACAAGTCAATTCCTAATAACCATTTTAAAGAAATTCCAGTCTAATCGTAATTAGAATTATAAAAACAGTTTACACGACGGATCAAAAAATGACGACATATCAAATTGAAAAAACAAAAGTTCCCGCCCATAAATAAGCGAAAAAGTTCAGCAAGAATAAATTATCAGTTTATGCAAGTGTATAAAGGAGATTATTTCACAAGATCCCACTTAAATCTGAACATCAACTCAGGCGAATGAAGCCGTATACGCCTTTTGATGACAAATTGGTGTAATTCGGGATATAACAATATAGTTAACCTTTTTGACGGGAGTCGATCGTCCTACCCTTGCGCTATCAATGCATGAAAAGTCAGATTCCAATTTTTGTTTCTGAATAAATATAGAATTGAAATAATTTAACAACTTTTCCCTTCTTCCTTTTTCAAACTCTCGACAAACATGAAAAGCAAGATTATGGATCATGAATAAATGAAATCTGCACTAAAACCTGAGACCAAACCTGCTAACATTAAATGTGTGCACTACACGCATCATGTGCTGGTGATCTTTACCCGCAGATCTTGTCAGCATCCTGATAATTCTTTGCATTCATCATACAGATCATCACTTATTGCTTAAAAAAATTATATTTCGTGTCAAACTTCAAATTCATTAGATGTTCTTTCGTGTAAAAATCATTCAAGTTGATTTTAAGAGTAGAGTGCTATTTCTTATTGAAAATTTGGTTAATATATGATGAATCTATTGAAAACATGCCATTAAGCTTCACGTTTAAATTTAAAAGGATACAGTTCAGTAACACTTCTCTTGCGCGAAAGGACGTCTTCAAACTGAACAACACATTGAATAATTTAGTCGTGCTGAGTTTCTGTAATGTCTAACGAACAAAATATTTCACAACTTCTTCCTTTTTCCCTCATGTTTTCAACCGATAATTACAGATACAGCTTCACAAATATTTTGTTTCTTTCATTGCCTATACTTTCACGACATATCACGTTTTGAAATTGCGTGTATCCTGGTCCTTTGTACAATTGCCCATTTTCATATTCCCAGCCAGTGATAGCAACCGACCGAATTTGGGTCGGTAAAATCGAGTTAAATTCGGTCGCAGTCCGAAATTCGTTGTAGTATCAAATTTTGAAATTCCAAGAAAGGATTCGGTCGGAATATCAAATTTCTGAATCTTAATAAGTCGTCTCGGTTGGATTCCAACTGAACTTAAATTTCGTTCAGTTACCATCACTGTGCCTAGTACGTTAAACGTACATACCTTTTTTAATCCGTATGCTGAATACTAGTGTGATTTTGCTTTGACACTAATGTGAATACTGATGTGCTTTGATACGAATGTGCTCAGAAAATTGGAATACTAACTTGTTTTTTCATACATTGCTCAGAATATTCTTTTATTATATTTGTTTACTGTCAATACAAGTATAACAAATTCTTTTATTATAAATGTTCTCTGATAGTTTACTATCAAAATGAATTTCCGCACAATCTTTATTCATACACAGTAATTTGCCCAGCAGCCATGCCAACACCACATCAACTTTTCAGTTTGTGAGACATTTTATTTTTACCATTTGCCTGGCAAATCGGTGTAAACGACATGTTGTAATGCTAGCAAAAGTGAGAAAAAAGCAGGTTGGTTTATGATAAGTAAGAACATTTCTACATGATTCGCAAGTACAAATACGACAATCAGTCAGCAATATGATAATTTCTAATCATGTCAATATATGCATATGTTGTGCTCGGAAAAGGTAAGGCTTACGTAGCATTTCTTCAAAGTTATGGTAACTACAACACAGATGCTGGTAGTATTGTTTATTATCATTATCATTACCATTACTGTCATGATCAACGTTCATGCCGTGTTGTAATNTAATAATAATAATCATTATTTCTCGACAACTGATGAACAGTTCAAGTAACATCTGTATGTTGTATTGGTTTTGAATGCTGAATGCAGAAATGAGCAAGTTGAAAATTAGCTGAAAAAGCAATGTTGGATGGAATGTGGTATTGACTGAGAGTTGAGTGCATAAAAGAGTGACAAAACTCAAAAAAAAAAACTTCGTTAGTGCGTTTGCATAGGACAATGGAAAAGATCTCGCATCGCATTTCGCATAAGTTTGTGTCGTTTGTAATATAAGCAAACGTTTATCATGGAATTCAGTTTGGTCAAGTGAAATAAATATAGATAAAAACTATCACACGTTTGATCGACTGCTTTCAGCTCTTCAACCATCCCTACAAGAACACTTTTATATAATACAGTCTTATCGAGTAATGATGCCATTGTGCGCAATGAGTGGAATTCTATTTGTGCTGGATTCGGGTGAAAAAAAGAACGTTTAACGGTGACTGGTGAGAAAAGCCAGAATATTTTCCTAATTCCTAGTCCGTTGGACATATCGAATTTTTAGTTGTTCCAGCTGGCAATGGAACTTTTGCAAACGTCATAAAACACGTCAACTGATAATGATAAGGGAGTTGCTGAGCGCTGATACTGCTAACACATTAATAAAGTAACTAAAAAAGAAATTACATAAAGTAACTAAAAAAGAAGTCTTGCGTTGATCAAATTTTCAAAAACTCTGAGACAAGTTTTCACTATCGCAAGCTACCTCAAAAATATTAACAGGTCATTTCGAAAAAACAGCAAAAGACCCCCTCCCCCTCCCCTCACCGTCTCATTTGACTCGCCAGGAATATCCAACAAATCGCCGAGTGCGTAGAAGCTCGTTAACGTTGCGACGAAATACTAGTAAAACAAAGGAAATCTGACGATTCTTGTTCTTAGAAGCTGTATTTCATGCGGGTGGTTAACGTGGAAAGAATTTGATAAGCTGCACTTGAATCAGGTCCTCGTCGCTCAGCTTTAACGTAACAAATGATCTCCGATATCCGAAAGGACTCAATACTCAAAGGATTCGCTATAAACGGTATCAGTTTGGTACTATTAAATGCAACAATAACTTTGCGTATCACTATTATTATGGTTGTGGTTAAACTAAGAAATCATTACCATAGAATCCAGCTGCGCGTGGGATGGCATCTAAAATGAGTGTACAAAAACTTGAAAATACGATTGCTTTTGTGACACGCAGTTGACTTTGTCTTCTTTTATCAATCTGGAAAGAGTGCTTTGATCAGAATAAGTATAGAAGTCATTGTTGTTTGCGCGTGAGAATAAATTCATATACCTGCTTGACTACTAACTCTTGAAATGCAATTCGATGATATTCCATCATTCAAAAAAACTTGATCTTTTCGTTTTGTTCTGTTCAAGTATCAATTGAAAAATGACTGTTTCATCAACTTGCCTGCGTCAAACTGATTTTTCTGGAGATGTGAACCATTTGTGAGCGCATTGCTAACAATAGTGGTATATAGACAATGACACTCAGTGCAACTGCAGTTAAATACTTTGAATACTGATAGAAGAACGACGATATAAATTCGCGTGTCATACATAACATTGATATTTTAATCTTGTCGCTCGTTAATGGATGAATCCATGCAAATATCGAAAATATTAACATAAAAATATTAGGAACATAAATATATATATTAGGAACATAAATACGGCTGAAATTTCTTTGTAAGATTGCGATGTATCAACGATTAAATGTTCTGTCGGTATCATCCTCGTATGATAATCAGTTAGTGCCAAAGGAGAACGTAGAAGGATCAACAGTGGTTCATATAAAAACAACAGAAGCAAAACTACAGTAGCAACATCACAAACCTTTCCAATCATCATTCTAGTATAAGCAGGTCTTAGTCGAAAATATGCAAAAGGGGTGACCACAAAGATAAGTCGATCAACTGATAATACTAATAACATAAACGATGTCGCAAAATCAGCCCATCGCCACAACCATGACTGCCGCAATAACATGCATTGTGTAGCAGTGAATGGAACATTTTAAAATCCAATTTTGATTATAATTAAACGATATATACCACCTAATATGGTTGAAAAACCTTCAAGTCTAGTATTGCAAGAGAATTTATCGACTGATCCGAAAACAGTGATAATAACTGAAGAAGCGTAGAGTAATGAAATGAGCCGTTATCAGTACTAAATAATCCGATCACCTTCAATAAAATCGGCAATTGCTAATGCGTTGATAAGTTGAAATTCACGTCTTATACGAATGCTTCGTTGTGATATAATCGATATGATTATGATGCTATTACAAAGTGCTGAACCAAAGCCGACCGGAATAAAAGAAGCTATCTGCAACATTCAGTTATCAGTTTCTTCATTCAAATGACTATTTTATTTTCTAGAAAACTTCCATCATCAGCAAACAGCTGAATCAGATTAAACGAAAACTAATGAAAAATAAATGAAACCTTTATCGTACTCCCATGTGAGCAAAGGAACTTTTTACTCTCACATTCACTGTTGTTGAATCAGATGATAAAAGGTTCCGATAGGTTTTGATAGTATAAGGTTTTGTTCGACATAGTTTTTTGATGCTACTTCTGATTAGAAGATGAAATTCGTAATCGATGAAATCAGTCAAATAATTCTCAGTTTATTGATGTTAATCATGAATGTGAAGAAAATCCAACTTCACACAGAGTTCACTGAGAAAAGTAGGTGCTAGTTCAAAATATGAGATAGGCCCAGGATAAACCTCAACCCGAGCTTGGGACAAGCCTCAGACTAAGCCTGATCTGCCCCTCAGTCTGTTGTTATGGACCTTAGCTTAACACCGGGATGAGCCACAGCCTAAGCGCAAGGTGTGGTTTAGCCTAAGCCCTGGGAAGTCTCAACCACACGTCAACTTGTTTGACATTGTTTTCAATTCAGATGAAATACCTTTAGTCGTAAGTCTTTGGAAACTCCCGATCAAAATGTAACTTAATTGAAGATGTATGTTTTCCACAAGCACTGCATGTTAGCCTCGAACAGATCTTTGGAAGGAGACATACGAAGATTCGCTGATGAGAAGAAATAACTATCGAAAGCAAAACGTCCCGGCAGCAAAATGGCAATAACAAAACGCTATGGTCCCCAAACATAAACAAATCTTGATGATCATGAGCATTACTGCTATTATCTATATGAATGTGTAATAATATATGCAGAATTAGATCATACCTTCGCAACATTTTTGATATTTCCAAATTCACATGGCTCAATACCAATCATGGTGTTGTTAATGATGAGTTTTTTCATCAAAAATACAAGATTATGGTTGAAGTTTGAATAAATGCATAACTTGAATTTGGTTATTATTGATAACAGTACACAACAATAATAGCAGTCACATCTCTACTGAAACAAATATCATAATGTGACTTAAATCATATCATTATGCATTAAAAATATAATCATAATGATCATGAAGACACAAGTAACAAGGAAACGTAGTTACAGTAATAAGAATAAAGACAAGACGTTTTAGGTTAATTTTCAAATTGATCATTCACTAGACGGTTTTAATCATTTCAATCAGAGGGCATTGCAATGCACATAAGAGCAGCCAAGAAGATATCACATTCACAAACGTCTCTTGTTTGTTTAAGCCTTGCGTTGAATT